GGCAAGGCATCTATCAGGAGAGTGAGAAAATATGTTTAAAAAAAATTCTCTTGCATATACTACTTGTCACTTTTCAAGGATTTTTAAACTGCTGGCATAGCTGGGTCAAATTTCACTTCAAACTTTAGGATAAATAATTTCTAACCCATAATTGTTTTCAATTTCTCCTTGAAAGTAAACCTTTGGAACCTAAGAGTACCTGCCACCTTTATTACTTTCACACGGTTCTTAAAAACCAGGACACCTCAGTAGATGTATGCTTGATAATTATCACAATCCCCCTTTTTATTAACATAACACCTTATTTTCATAACACTTTTGTTTTTATCTTTTTTGAGCTCTCCTAATTCTTGATTTTAAACACACATACACACAATGTGCCATTTTCCAGATGAGGAAATCAGGGCTCCAATAGCCTCTAAGTGACCTACCTTAAAGTCCCCAAAACAAGCTTCCTAACTGAACTATGACTTACAACGTCGATGCCTCGGTGCCACATCAACAAACTTGATTATATTGACAACATAAACCTCCATCATCCCAGGAATTTGACATGACTCTGTTCCTTGCAACCTGAAAGTGTGTTATCCAGCTCAAGGTGACTCTGAGGATATGATGTGATGATGATGATGGCTGAAGGGAGCCCAGTCTGGGTCCTGGTCGGGAACCAGTATCAATCACCAACAAAGTCACACCCAACCATAATAGGAAGGTTCCTCAACAGCTCTCAATTATAGGGACCTCTCCTCTCCCACTCTGGTGACTCTGGAGCTCTCTATCTCTGCTTCTATGTCCTCTGCTCCTACAACTACTTGTTCTACTCCCTGTTAGAATTGTGAGATGGGAGAGCAGGGAAAAGCTGAAATATGTCATCATCACTGTGATATTTTGGAGTAAAACAGGACAAGGACAGAGCATTATGAACACAGATATGTGCCTGCGTGCTGTGTGTGTACCCCGTCATTTAGACACAATTTGTGTTGTGTCAGGATATACTTTACTTGAGCAATGATTTGTACAAATTGTATTGTGTGGGTTGTCAGGGAGTTGTGGTAGTGAGGACAGTGAACTGGGAAACAGGCTGGAGGTATAGGCCACCGGCAGCAACACAGACTGAAGATGAGCAGAGCAGGAGGGACCTATTGTCATGGGGCCCACTGCCAAATACAAATGCTGGCAGCATATGGACTCACAAGTAAATTTACTCACATGGCTTGAGTCTGTGTTCTTCCTACACTGTCTACCATTCTCAGGGACCTGGCCAAGGGCCACAGGATTCTCCTAATTGGCATCGCTCTGTTCTGTCTTCTACTTTTGTTTATTCATGGTTCTTCTTGCCTTTTGGCTTTTGCCTTTCATCTTTTTCTACATACTTCTTTTCCCTTCTGAGCCACTCTCCTGTTTTGTCCCTCTTTGCATTTTTCTCTCAAGCCTACACATATGCAATAGCTAGTCTATTTAATTAGTTGCCCTCAATTTGGTGTCCCCACTGGGCAGAGCTCTAGCTCTAAGCCAACTGCTGTGCTCAGGGTCACAGGCCAGTCCTGGCTCAAATCACCTGGGAATGAAACTCCATGGGTCACATGTACAAAGTTTGGTTAAAAAAAAAAAAAATACACAGGAAAAAAAATCCATAAAACAAAAAACTTCCAACTGCCTTTTTCAGGAAGTGACCAGAATAGGCAATCAAGTCATGTCCAGAGTAAGCCCTATGAGGTTACCAGGCTACTACCTTCCCTGCTTTTCTAGGCACAATTAAATAACTCTGAAAGTCACACAGAGTAAAATGGAGCTCTTATGCCTGAGAAGAATGAACAATGATGGAAAGATCTTATAAACTCTATTCCATTTTATATTTTAAAGCACTTGGATAGGTTAGTAGAATCTTGGATATAATACTCCCTACTTTAGAGAAAACTAATGAGCAGTGCTTCAGGCCCAAAGATCAGTCCTAAGGATCAGTAATTTGATTACTTTTAAGTACATAAAATCTCTCAACTGAGTTTTTGTGCTACAGTCCCCACTGGGCAACATGGTATGAGACACCACTGGAGATCTGATGTATCCATTAACTTAGGAGAAATGGTTTCTACTGCATACCACCTGGTTTCAGAGGTCTGAAAAGAAGCCAACAGTCTGAAAATCATAACAAAAACAAGCCTAAAAGTTAAGCTAGTATAATACTGAGGGAAAACAAGCACACCAAGAAAGTTTTATTGAGGAAGCCAAGGAATAAAAATTCCTTAATCCCTGGAGCCTAAATACATTCCTTTTGGTCCTCTCCTTTTTTAAAAAAAATAATAATAATAATCAAGTCCAAGTCAATGTATCTGAATGACTCATTTGGAATTAGGAACACAGTTCTGGTTGTCCTCCCCGAAGCACTCCATGACACAGATCACATTATCCCTAAGGAACATGTCCGGTATTTGACCTTAGTAGATCCAGAGTATTCCATATACTGGAGCCAGGACATTTGAAAGTTGCATTGTATTATGCAACTCTTCTATCTATCCTCTTGTTTATTTTACATTATTTCCACTGAGATCTTAAATGTAGTGCTTCACTCTTTCCCAGGTTGGAGACATCTGAGAGTCTGTCTGGGGAAACAATGTCTCACATAGCTCTACCTATTAACTCACCGAGGGCTGTCACGGTCACGTGAGCTTTAAGAACTCCTTCCCAATTACATGCTATGTCTGGGGAATATATAATTTTTCTAAATATAACCTGATAAGCAAGTTTTTAAAGCATTTTCACAATACATACATATATAAATTTTATATTATCTAAATATGTATAGATTGTTTAGTATATTTCATCTGAAAATATTTTAGTGAACAAAATTTAAATGATAAAGTGTCTGAAAATAATGTAAATACTTATTTGTTACATATGTATATTGGTCTATAATGTGACCCTGTATTTATAGCTACGAATGAAATGCTAATAAGCCTTTGACTGAATAAAATCCAGTCTCCCATTGTTAGGTGCTTAAGTCTAAGCATTTTGCAATAATGGAAAATGGATAGTATGACATGGGGGTAGGGAAGACTTGCCCTGAAACCACAGCTTCACACTTGGGCACAGTATCTGACCTCTTTGATCCTCAGTTTCTGTATCCGTAAGATGAATCGTAAGAGCTTCTACCTCATAGTCTTTGTGAAGATTATTACTTCAAGTATACACGTAAAGCCAGTAGTTAAGTACCTTACAGATGTTAGGATTATTATAATGAGGACTATGATAACATCTTTAACTATAAGCTAACAACTAATATTTTAATTTTTAAAAAATATAATTTAAAGAAAACAGATTTTCTTTGAAGGGCATTTTTACTTATATCTAACAAAACTGTGTCATCATTTTTGTATATGCCCAAACTTTTGTGTGCAGCAGTAATGAACATGCTCATTTATGCCAATTTTTCTACTCTGTATTAGAGACCCTATCTATATCAAATATCTCCTAATTATTTAGCTATCTAGTTACAGTAGTTAAAACTTTTCACGTTCTCTACTATTGGGAGATTTCAAACAGGGACTTGGGGTTTTGTGTTTTGTTTGCTTGTTTTATTCACAGCCATCTTTGGAAGATATCATCACATTCATTGCTAAACATTTCTAGCATTGGCAATGCCCCCATCCAACTCTTTTTTTTAAATAATATGGGAAAATATTTAAGTTATTCATTACTGGTTAGACAATGCTTTTGAATGACCTATGGTTTCCTCAATGAATGTGGTCACAATGACCTAAAAAAAAAAGAAGTCTCTTTTTATTTTATCTTGCTTCCTTCGTTTAGTGGTCAAGAAAGGCATGGCTAAGTAAAGAAAATCCGTGGCCCTTGCGTATTAGAATTGTGGACTAAATACCTCAAAAGTGATTTATCCATTGCTCAAGCAATCCCAGTGCCTAATTTTCAGTGGACTGTTCTCTATTTCCTTCAGGTAGAACTGGTTTCCGACTCACTTGATAAAGTCACTAAAAAGATCCTTCTAAACCATTAACGCAGTCATGCTCACTAGGCCCCAAATCCATCAGTGGCTCAAAATCTTACTCCTTAACATGGCATACTGACCCTCATTATCTGGCTCTGGACTCATCTTCCCAAAGTTCTTCCCAACTTCCTAACTTAACCGCATTTCCCCAAACACATCATATTTCACTTATAGGAGGGTTTCTCAACCCCAACACTATTAACATTTTGAGCCCTAAAATTCTTTGTTGCTGTGGGCTGTCCTTTACATTGCAGGGTTTTAGCAGCATCCTTTGCCTCTACTCACTAGATGTCAGTAGCATCCCATCCGCCAGACATGACAATCCAAAATGTCCCCAGACACTGCCAAATATACCCTAAGGGGTAAAATCCCCCCTAGTTGAGAATCAATGACTTACAGCCCTACTTTATACATTAACATGCATTAATCTCTTCCTAAACAGCACTTCCTTTTTCCTTCACTCTGTCCTAGAAATTCTCCACTTGGGGTTAACTCTTTCTTGAACTCGAAACTTCAGTGCAACTATCATCCATTCCACAAAGCCCTCTCTACTCCAAGTGGGGGATAACTGACAAGCGGACCTTTCTCTGGGTAGTATCCTGAGTGCTCTGTACTTAATCCAATCATAGTCAAACGATATCCAACATTCATATATGTGCTATCTTCCCTACCAGACTGCCTGCTCTGTGAATGTTGGGACTGAGCCTCTGGCCACTAATCTCCAGCACCTAGCACCATACATCTAACACAACAGTGTTAGACTTTCAGTGTAGTGGCAAAACCCACAACAGGTGCTCAAAAATGACAATGGATGAAAAGTAAAAATAAATCTTCTCTAATACTCATGGCAGTTAAGAACAGGCAAGTCATATAGGCAGTTCAGTTTAATGTTCTTGGGTGTTAGAAACATTTTATAACCTCACATACTATGAGTGGTCATGTCCAATTTTCACGAACAGATAAAACAGGTTGAAAATTAAGGATAAGGAAGTTAACTTACAGCTTGTAAGTACCGGAAAGACAAGATGGGGCCACTTAATGCCCCACAAGCATTACTGTCTTCAAAGTCTCCCTCTTCAAGCAGGAATTGCTGGCCTTTAAAATGTTCTTTTTCGTAGGCAACCCACCTAGAAATATAGAGGACACCCAATTGAGCCAGCCATTGATAAAACTGCAGTCAAGAAAGCAAAAGAGAGAAAATCATGATAAAGCTCATAGTGACTCATCTACATATTCTAAAAAGCAACACATCTGTTTTGTTTCCATTTACAAAGACAGACAAATGGTGTGTACTTCGTAGATTGATAGTTTATATAGTTTGAAGGCTTTTCCCAACAAAAGGTTAATTGGAGAATTGAAATAGAGCAATATTCATTAAATATTTGTAGTATGACTTGCTTATATAACAGCCCAACGTGCTCAGAGAATAGTTTGCCAAGTAAAAATAATAGAAAGCATATATAGCCAATGAGAGAAGTTAAAAGTCCACACTGAGATCCAAAAATAATCATTTTTATTTTACTGATTAAGCCCTTCTAGAGCCACAGAATGACTATTATATTATTATTCAGAGTTTAAATCAAGGGAAGCCCTCACCAGGCTTCAGATCAAAAAAACAACACAGGAGGGTTTAGCAAAGAGGAACTGAGAAATGTGACTAAGCTGGTGTTAGCCCCGGTGCCCTACATGTACACAAAGATGTGTAAACACTTACGGGTGGGAAATGTTGGTCCCACCACCTTCTTGACATCTAATGCAAAACTTAGAAATACCATTAGTTGTTAAACTCCTCCATGAAACTTGTTTTTGTATGGAGTAATCCATGGTATCTAATGCAATGTGTGCAAAGATGGTTCCTAAAACAGGTTGACTTGATTAAATCTGCCCTTAGCTGCACTGTGTAGTTAGGGAAGGACCCCCTCCAACTGGGCCAATTCCAAGGAAGACAATTCTGAG